ATGATTCTATGATTCTATGATTCTACCTGTCAATGCCATTTCATGTACATGGGACTTTTGACAAGACACAGCATGGCTCCTGCTGACAACTGCTGTACCGGTGTTGGTTTTTTCACTTAGCAGCAGCAGCAGTAAGATTTTTCCTTACCCATTTTTCGGGTGTGAAAATGTATCTTCCTGCTTCAGCCAGCTGGAGAAAAAAAATAGAGGAACGTGCTAAGCACCTGAGAATGCTGCATTTGTTGTCACTTCAGAAAGGTAAAATGGTGTGTCTTTTTAAAAATTACTTGCTGCTGCTGCCTTTTCTATGCAGCCTTGTTTTTCTGGCATTTTTCCTAGCTACAGCTATCTCTCCTGGTTGTGTTTTCAAGCTGTCTTTTGACATTTTCTCCACTCGTGGCTGGTCTGCAGGTCTAACATCACTTTCTGTATATGTCATCCTGCTCTGACAGATCCAGCTGGAGGGACCTTGGGGCACCTCTTCAATGTCTCCTGCTACTGCGTATCTCTTGGGAGAGTGGCTGAGGTTATACAGCTAGTTATTAAAGTCTCTTTGCTTTATTTTTCCAGGGTCGTGAGTTAAGTGACATTAACATTCTCTCCAGATACATTCACCTACAGAAACTGGAACTTTCATATAATAAAATTAATGGTATGTAGTAAATACACTAGTAAATTCTTGGGTTGTGAAATCATTTAAGATGAGAAATGCACTGTACCATGTAGCTTTAATATCCCAGAGCTTGGTCTACATTTTAATGGCGTAACTACTCCAGCTCTACAGTCTGAGACAGTGGCTAGACCTTCTTGGGAATGGTGTGTGGACTGCTCAGACAGCTGCCCCAGCATATGCTTCTCAGTGGGAACATGGAGATTATTGTCCAGTTTATTACCCAAAGATAAAATGCAAGCAAGCATGTCAATACAAGGTTAAGGTTGAGATTTTACACATGCAGATGTCATAATATTTAAAGTTATGTCTGGTACAGTTTTCCCAGCCTTGGGCTTTCCTTCGTCAAGGTTTTCCACTGATGACAAAACGTCACCAATTATATCCTGAATTTAGAAGGTAACAAATGGAGACTGAGGTAAACTCCATCATCTTCTATTCCTTCTCCCCCCTCACACTCCTCAACTCATTTTTTAATTTAACAGAGAAAGGAATGAGCTGTGCTGGCAGCCTGTTGCATTATTTCTTTCGAGTTCATGTCACTTGAGGTGCTGGAGTCCAATAATAGCAGCACTTTTGTAAGGTGGCACTTCTCTGTGTTCATTTTACTAACAGTTTGTCTGTGAAGGCTAGGTCTGAACAGAGCAGAGACTTTTCCATAGCAACTAGTCCTTTAGTCTTCAGTAGTGGCCTAAATACTTTTCTCCACTCGTTAATAACTTAGGACACAGGCAGTCTCTCTGTTGTTACAGAGGTAGCTAGAATATAAAACTATATTCTGACTTTCAGGCAAATCAGTTGACATAATGGAAGTTTAATGTAGAGCCTGCATATTTATTCTTCGTGGTTTAGAAACTATCTTTTTTCCTACTAGAAGGTGTTAATAGATCTGATTTCTGCATTTCAAACGTTGCTTTCTGAATGTGTAACTACAAATTGATTCTTGATTGCCATTGAATGTAATTATCATGTTTTGACATGATGATCTCTGCATTTGCCTATGCATTCATGTGCAGGATTTGACATTTTGTTTTGTTACTAGATCTTTCTTGTATCAGTCACATGCCTTACTTACTAGAACTGAATGCTTCCAACAATGAATTGACCACATATTTCAGTTTTAAACCACCTAAAAATCTCAAGGTAAGTTGCAAAAAATGCATTTTTTAGGTTTAAATTCAAAACGGTTTTCTAAATCTAATTTAGACGTGGTATTCGTACATGTGCAAAAGTGACTTTTTATGCCTTATTCTTATTTCTTACCTCATTTGACATTTTAATAGCTTTTCCAAATGTTTGGTTATTTTACAATGCACGTTTCAGTCTTTTATTTTCTTTCACACTCTGAACCCTGGCACGCCATGGGAAGGTGTACAGCTAACTGTTCTAGCCAGAGGTAAATACAGCCAGAATTTTTTTCCTTACTTGTGGAATTCCTCAGACCTTTAGTGGGATCGGTTCCTACCTGTCAAATTGACTGGTGCTGGTTGGTGTTGTGAAACAGGTACTTAAAACGTAGCTATGTGCTGGTCTTCCCTTTGCTGTTGTTTCCTTGATGTCCACTTTGGGTTATAAAATCCAGGAGGTTGTTTTGAAATGTGACCTTTATGTATTTCTCTGCCTTCTCCGTTAGTTTTTTAATATGTGTGCATAAGTACAGGACCATTAATGATAATGTTGTTGGGAGAAAGTATAGTTTTGGAAGTTCCCAAAATGTTAATTCTATGTGTCATTAAAAAAAAACCAACTTTCTGTTTATGTCCTAATATTAATAATCTTATTTCATCCACACCCTTGATCGCAAGTTTAATGTAACAGTTGTTTAGTTTCGCAAGACAGCTGTAAGTGCTGAAGAAAAAAAAAAAGTAACTTTCTGTCTCCTTTTTTCTTTAGGAAGTAGATTTTTCCTACAATCAAATATCTAAAATGCAAGATTTGTCAGCATACCAGTCACTTACTAAACTCTTGCTGGATTGTATCCTTTATGGAAACTTGAATGGGAGAAAAGTTGCTTGTTTGCTGTCTGAACAGCTCTTTGCTTGAAGTCGGTACCTGTTTTCTTTGCATTTCTCCTTCAAGTAAGTTTTGTCTTTAGAAACAAGATTAAACACTGTAATTCTGGCGGTGAACCTGATCTTAATTTCCTTAAGCATGCCTGGTGCTAAAGGTGCTTGTAGGTACGTGTAAGGTATTAGCCTGCTAGAGAAACACAAAAAAGCCTCTACTTTGCATCATGTAAAACTGAAAAAGTGACGTGTCACACTGTCTTTGCACGGCAGAGGTACTAAATAATCCCAGTATTTTTGTATAAGAAAGGTTAATAGGAAACCAGCTTGGAACACTAAGCTCCCTGTCGAGGTGCGTGTTGTTTAGTCTTAGACACAGCTAATTACGCAGGGACTGTAACGACTTTGTGGAGGACGAGGCCGTTTAACGACAATGAAGGGAATCTGTAAGTGAGAGAAAACTGCCTGGAGTACGCTGAGGGAAGCAGACAGAGAAGATGTTCTGCTACACACCTTCCACGGTCTCACTGTGGTACCCAGTTGGTGGGATTAGAAACACTGTTCTGGCAGAAATCGGATTAACACAATCCTGCAGATGAAGTTTCTTCGTTGCTTAACTTCTTCAAGGCTGTCCGTAGTACTCTTAGTCTGCCTAAAGATTCTCCTCTGCTTTTCTGAAAGATCTTCTGGAGTTTCATGTTCAAATTGCTTCCTGAGGGCTTGTGAACCTTTCCTCTTTGCTTCATAAATTGTATCTCCATTTTTCTTCTCTCTGAAAAGGAGAAGACAGCAGGCTGTTGCAGTTTTTTCCCTGTCTCTTGTCCTCGGAGTAGCCCATTACCAAACGGCATTAATACAATGCCTTTTTCGTGTAGGAGCAGATAAAGCATTTGCAGGGCACCCAGGTTACGCTATTCACACGTTTTACAGGGTGTGCAGGTGACACGATTCTTGTCAGAAAATGCCATTGAGACACCATCCCTTTGCAATTCTAATTTTCCCTCGCGAAAACCGTACAGCGAAATGAAAAGGAAAAAAGATCAGAGATTTGTATCGCGGATCTGGATCGGTGTTTTTTCCTTCGGTTTCAATGCAGCAGCGTGCTGTCTTCCATTTCTTCATTTGTCAGTGGAGATGCCGTTGAAATGGGGAGAAAAACTGTTTCATGCATACAGCTGCAAGTCGGCTCTGAAATAGAAGGACACGAGTGCAGAATGTAGCAGTGCAGAATTTAGAATAGCAAAGTGGTGCTGTTCCTAACCCGTGTCAAGCGCTCCTTGCCGAAGGCATGCCAGACAAAACAAGCTGTTCTTTGTAATCGTAAATGAAAATAACCATATTAAATATCTTGCAGTAGCGGAAACGTTTGGCTTGCGTTTCTTGTTGACAGTAACTAACCATTTCTTACCATATTTAAGTGAATTATGATGCAGATGGTAAGGTCGTTGTACCTTTTTTTCCAACAGGTGAGCACACAAGCACACCTGGCAGGATTATAAATGAGTTTTCAAGGAGGAAAATGCCCAAATCAGGAAGGGAGACAGCTTGGGCAATAATATCTGACAAAGCATTATAGTGAGTCATTAAAGACTAAAACTGATTCTGTTAATTTAGTGCTGAGCAATTTGCTGCCTCATATCGATGCTTATGGCTTCAACAATATTTTTTCCTGGCCAAAACTTTTCCTCCTCAGTTGAAAGAGAAGCAGTCTCATTTTTTATGCAAATCAGTGAGTATCTGTCAAATATCAGTGCCCGTGGATGGTTTTGGTTTCTTTTCTAGATGACAAAGACAAAGGTCCTATGAAAAGATAACTCAGTGCTTACCAGCTCGTTTCTCCTTCGCTCCTTCCCCATCTAGGCCTGTGAGTGTAGAACTTGGGTAATGGAAAATTAAGTTTTTATGTAGAAATGTAGCTAGGAAAAAACAGAGTTAGGTCACAGCTATTAAAGAGTGTTCTGTTGGCCCTGACTAAGCTTACGGTTTTGTTTGGTTACAGTTTCGTTCAGACAGAGAAAAAAATCCTGATAATTTGTCCACTGCCTGGTAAGACTAGAAAAGTGAATGAAAACTCACTTGTCCCTCTTTGCAGGCAAGAGTTCATTCTCTAAAGTCGATGAAAAATATTTTCTTCTGTGATTGCTTAAAGGCATTTCTCTGTGTCCTGCATGTTCTGGCGACTTTTTTCAGTTATATTTCTTGGTTTTTCAAGTTCCAGCTTGGACTTTTGCAATACAAGTGTAATTCTTCTTCCCTAATTTCAGTCAATTAGGTGCCTGGATCAGAATGATCTGATTTCAGTACAGAGTCAGATACCTCTGCAGTCCTGAGCGATCTGGGATAGCTTGTTGTCAAAGGAAACGTGCTTTGTTTAAGTAATCTGGGTAGTTAGTTAATGCTGAAGTTCACTGAGAGGAATCCTAACTACTTTTACTGCTGCTTTGGAGTTTAATGTTAATTTAAAGTACACTCTCCCCGTTCGCTACAGATGGCCAGTATAGAAGAGGTATAATTTAGAGTGAAATAGCCCCATATAGTGCTATTGTCTGTTATTTCTTGGATAATTTGCGTGTAATGCTTGGAGGTCAAGGTCAGTTTGGAGCCCTGGTAAGTACTCTGTAAATGTGAAAAGATCACGTGTTCCTTTGATCACTCAGCCGTGTGCTTGTATTCTACCTAACCTGACTGGTGCCCAGTTAAAGGCATAAAGACCCCTATGTTTTAGCCTGCACGTATGCATCTGATGAGAAGACCAGAGATTTACCGCACAGTTTTACAAGACACTGGCAGAAGTAGTTCCTTCCCCACACTCCTGTTGCCTCCTTTCCAGTGCTTTCTTGGTTTGCCATCTGCCCCAGTTATGCCAGCTTGAAGGGCTGCACTGTAAACCAGGTCACAGAAACTATCTGAGTTAAAAGCCCCTCCAAAAAGGTGGGGAGGATATTTCTAGCTGGATCGGTGCCTCTTGTCCTGCAGCCCCATAAAAAGCTGTGTCAGTCAAACAAGGAGGTGGTAAATTCCAGAATAGAGGTGGGTGTGAGCAGCTGGGATTTTAAACTCCTTAGCATGAAGTATTTGAGATTCAGCTCCCCATACCATGAAGTTCAGCTCCATTGGCTAGTTTGGCTACTAATTATTATCAAGGTTTTGCATTTGGTTGTTTTCCTTAAATGCAAAAACCTCTCTACAGTTAATAACATAGAGCAGATAAGAGGACTGGAGAAGTGTCACAGTCTGACTCATCTTAGTTTGTCACACAACAGACTCACTGCAATCAATGGCCTTGAGAATTTACCTATCAGAATACTCGATCTGGTAAGAAAAAAGCAATTCTAGTTGTTTTCCTGCCTGTTTTTTATCAATATATTAATGCCTTAATAAATATGAAGGTAATTACAAAACAAATTTTCAGTGATGTGTGTAATACTGGACACGGTTTTTTATTAATACAGGATGATAGAATGATATAGGTTGGAAGGGAGCTGTGAAGATCATCCAGTCCAGCTTCCTGCTCAAACTAAAGCCATCTTCAGTCGAGGTTGCTCAGCACCTTGTCCAGCTGGGTTTTGAATTTCTCTAAAGATAATTTACGTTTGCTCTGGGTAGGATTTGTTGTTGCTTAGGTGATGTGTAAGAAGTTAGTTACTGTGTAAGTGCCACAATACAAACAATTAAGATTTTTTTTTTTTAAGGTACATTTCCTTGTAAAGTTGTGTTTGGGATAGCAGTGAGCTTGGACAGGAGAGGGAAAAGCAAGGACTGAGAAGCCTGCATTCATTTTGGAAAACAAGTCAAGTTTAATATGTGAATCTGATATATTATTAAACGATCTTTGTTTGATTTTCTAAGGATCTTGTAATGAGATTGGAAGCTTTTTATTGCCAACTTTCCATCGAGATACCTAAGTGTGTTGGGTTTGTATGGCCACAGAGAGGCTACTGGGATGGCTTCTGTAAGGAATCATAGAATCATAGAATGGTTAGAGTTGGAAGGGACCTCAGAGATCATTTAGTTCCAACCCCCCTGCCATGGGCAGGGACACCCTCCACTACACCAGATTGCCCAAAGCCCCATCCAACCTGGCCTTGAACACTTCCAGGGATGGGGCAGCCACAGCTTCTCTGGGCAACCTGTGCCAGTGTTTCACCATCCTATGAGTGAAAAATGTCTTTTTTAGATCTAATCTAAATCTCCGCTCTTTCAATTTAAAGCCATTGCCCCTTGTCCTGTCACTACACATCCTTGTAAAAAGTCCCTCTCCAGCTTTCCTGTAGGCCCCCTTTAAGTACTGGAAGGCTGCATATATATATATATATACACACACTTGTATTTCAGCTATATAATGCCTTCAGTAGCTTCCAGTTATGCCCTTAGTGGCAATAAAACTGCATTTTGTCTCATTTTTAGTGGGTAAGATTAACTCAGATTGACAAAATCATGTCTAGAAGTTCTGAAACGAGCTGTAGGAGGATGACAATCTAAGCTGACAGGAAGATCTCTCTAAATGCTTTCTTCTGGGAGAACTACAGTCAGTTGCTCAACCACTGTGTGTGCTGATCTCCTTGTCTGTTAAAAGGCCGGATAATAATTCCGTTAGTGATGGTTTTCTGCTCTGTGAGATGTTTTGGAGATTGTGTTAACAGCTCAACCTTGTTAATACGAACGTGTTCTTCGGTTTGGGTTCTTACATGTGGTTATTTATACAACTGCTTGTCTTTTTTAATTAGCCAAGTAGATAGTCATGTGGAAATTATGTAAATAGACAGATTTTAACGTGGCATTTTCTTTTACTCATTAGAATAAAGTGCAGTTATTTTTTCATGGGAGCAGTCATCCCTTCCCATTGATTCAGCTTTCTTTTCCGTTTTCCCTTGAGCTTTTTAGGTTGAAAGAGTAGTAAAGTCTGAAGTTTGGAAGAAACGCTTCAAAAATGTAAATACTACCTAGCTATACCAAAAAGCCTTTTATTCTGCTTGCGTTTGCAAAAAAATAAGAAGTGCAGCTCTAATGAACTGGACTCTTAAGAATTTTATGCTTTGCAAAAAAAAAGAATCTCTACACAAATCCCTTTCGTTCACAGAATTTTATGTGCACCTCTTGCAGAGCATTTTGCAACTAGAGCTCTGAGCTCTATCCTGTGTAACAAAGAATAGGAAGAGAAGACTGAGCCTCCATGCTATTAATAACCTAATTAAACATTTAAAAGTCAAGAAAAATGTCAAGGACAGACAACTGGATTAACATTAGAGTCAGCTGGCTTATTTATTTCAATAGTTCCTAAATATTTATTAATAGAATATGAGACTCCTAAGCTCTCAGCACAAGGTGATGCTGATGGAAAAATATACCTTGCAAGGTTATACAGCAAGAATCATGTCGAGAGGCCATCTGGGTACGTGGGACAAAGATGAGTGTAGAACCTACCACGTTATACTTATGTGGAGTTCATAGCAGAAACGAGTATGTGATTTGTGAGGCCCTGAGAAATGCAGCCATCTGGTGTCCACTGATAAATGTAGGTCTTCTGGTTTGTACCTCGTTTGGAAGGAACGTAGAACAATGGTAGCTGGTTGTGAGTACTCAAAAGCTTGGGTCATTTCAGTGTTAGAGTCTAGATGAATCATGGAATCATAGAATCACAGAACGGTTTGGGTTGGAAGGGACCTCAAAGATCATCTAGTTCCAACCCCCCTGCCATGGGCAGGGACACCTTCCACTACACCAGGTTGCACAAAGCCCCATCCAACCTGGCCTTGAACACTTCCAGGGATGGGGCATCCACAGCTTCTCTGGGCAACCTGTTCCAGTGCCTCACCACCCTCTGAGTGAAAAATGTCTTTTTTAGATCTAATCCAAATCTCCCCTCTTTCAGTTCAAATCCATAACCCCTTGTCCTATCACTACATGCCCTTGTAAAAAGTCCCTCTCCAGCTTTCCTGTAGCCTTTACTGTAGCTTTTCCCTTTAAGTACTGAAAGGCTGCAATAAGATCACCCTGGAGCCTTCTCTTCTCCAGGCTGAACAGCCCCAACTCTCTCAGCCTGTCTCCAGAGCAGAGGTGCTCCAGCCCTCGGATCATTTTTGTGACCTCCTCTGGCCCCGCTCCAGCAGCTCCATGTCCTTCTTGTGTTGGGGACTCCAGAGCTGAACGCAGTATTCCAGGTGGGGTCTCACGAGAGCAGAGCAGAGCGTAAGGTGGGTTTGTTTGGGTTTTTTTTAACATTTCTGTGAATGCTGTCACTGACAGTAAATAAAGTCTGCCTTCACTTACTACACATTAAATGAACCTGTGTATCCTAGAGAGATATTTTTATAGACTTCCTCTAGGCCACAGAAAACAATACTGTATTGTTCTGCCTTAAGATTGTCCTTATTTATTCTGTAATCATGAGTGTAAATATAACCATGATTACAGAGGGAAATTCTATGTATTTATGTATATATATTCTATAATTTTACCTGCATATCTATTTTCTAAATTTTGAGTCAGATAGTGACAAGAGTATCCTTTAGCAAGTGTCGGCTTTAAAAGGACACTAGAGCTTTTTTTTATTGCTGTAGTCTCTCACTGCTCTTCAAGGTGAGTTGAAGATAAGTTAATGAGAAGATAGTTGATTCTTTTTCCCTTGAGCAGTATGGAAAGCTGTAATATTTCATCCGAAGATGAAGATGGGGCTGATGCATAAAAGGCCTATTTGTAGTAGGATTCTCAATAATAATGGGAACTCTCTTCTTCCTCAGGAATGTGTGGGGTTTTTTTCCATCCGTAGAACTTTATCAACAGTTTATATGCTTTTGTTTCTTCTTAGAGCTCTAACCGGATTGAGAAGATAACTGGGTTGGACAGCTTGAAAGCTCTGCACAAGCTGGACCTGTCTAGCAATAAAATCACTAGTCTAGAAGGCTTGGAGGGACATGATCTACTAGAGGTGATCAACCTGGAGGATAACCAGGTAGCACACTTAATATTGATCTCAGCTTTTTCTAAGAATGCGTAATTATTATTTTTTTTTCTAAAATTCAATCCCTTAATCAAAAAAATCTTACAACGCTGCAAGAAACAAATATTAGAAAATATGTCATTTTTTCCTTCGGTATTTTATTCCAGTGCTGTTTCACATGTCGATTTATAGCGTACTCCTCAGTCCTTATTTAATATCTCTGGATGGGTTTATCTTTGTGTAGGTATCACTTCTGTAGTATTTAGTGCTCATGTACATAAAGAGCTAACTGCTCCCTTGAGTGGATAAGATAGGCATGAGTCTGCAGCTTTTCCAGTTTGATTATTCTGGAGGATCTTTACTTACACCAGAGCTTTTTCTACTGCCAGGCCTCAGGAGGGTTTGCTAATATCTCTTAGCCCGATTTTATGACCATAGATTCTTCTGAGCTCTCAGCTGGAAACTTCCTGTAAGGCAGAACTGCATGTAATCTGTTATAAAATGGCTTTTGTTATGCAGCAGGTTTTCACTGGAAGTACAGTGATACAATGCAACTCATTTGTGTTTGAATTTTGAAACTCAAGCCATATATACGTAATACTTTTTTTACTGAGCTTCCAGGGCCCTTAACTGAAAAGACCGTCAAGTCATGAACCATCTCGACATCAAATACAGATCTGCATGTGAAAAAAAAAAAAAATTATCTAAGAAAATAAGAAATAAAAATATAAACCAGGAATCGAACATTTTCTGTCATTTTTCCCCACTTGCAAGATACATTTACAGGATTTAATTCGAGTCACTAGGAATTCTTTTTCTCACCCCGTGTTCAGGTTGACATTTAAAGGTACATCAATTGCACAAGACAGGAAACTAATTAATAGTATGGTTGCTATTAGCATTAATAACACCAAATCCATTGCTTCATATAGTTTCTACTGTTTTTTATGGCACGCAAAAGCTATTAATTTTACCTCATCAAAATTTGCCTGTTTTAATGATGTTATTGAGGCTGTTTAATGAGTCACCATTTTTTGAACATTTCCTTTTGAAGAATAATTTAAAGGGAATTTTAATTAATTAACACAGAAATACTGAGTTACTTCAGCACACTACCACCCAGAATGATCTTAAATGTTTGATTTTTCTATAATGGGCACAATAAGTTTATCTGCAGTCCAAATCTCTCATATACTTCAGTGATTTTCAAATGGTGGTGGTTGGCGTCCTCTGATTTGCTTCGGAAATCCACCCAAATTACATTTAATTTGGTCAAAACTGTTCTGCACTGAGCTTCTTGTCCTCTCAAAATGAATATTGGATTGGGTATGGTTGAGTTTTATGCTTTTAGACACTTTACATAAGCTGAGTATAATATAGGGGTAGAATCTGAAGTCTTCTAGGTTCAGTCTTTCAGCAGTGGAGAAAAACTAGTTATTCTTACAAGACAATTCATCCCAGCCTACCATGGATCGGATGACGTCTGGAACTGCCTCTCTCCACTGATTACAGAGTGAGGTTAAGCATCTGGCTTGGACTGGCTTAACAGATGGCTAAAATGAGGCGACGTGAATTCCATTTGACCCGTTTTGGTTTAGTTGAGAGCTTACAACTGTTTACTCAGAGTCCAGCACAAGTGCCTCTAGCGTGACTTTGCTGTGGGCACACCAACTTTGATTAATCCCACGTAACTCCTGATGCTTATCTGATGTGCCTGAGTGCAGCCAGCCCGGCTTTCCTTTGTGGATAGATGAGATTTTAAGTGGAACACATCACCCTCTGGACACAGCCAGCCAAGGACAACTATGCTGATGCTTTTTAGTCAAGTGCTGCAAGCTAGGTAGGATGAACTTGAGCTCCAGTGAAAAGAAACTCTTCTTAGAAGGAATATTTTTTTTTTTTTTTGCTAGTCAACTGAAGCGCGAATATAACTGCAGAATTGCCTCACTTAAGCACATCAGCCACATAAAAGCTCAATGCGTTAGGGCTTGACATTTGAAAGAACTGGGAAAACGCAGGTGGTTTGAAATTGCTGTCTGTGTGATGCTACTTCTCCAGCTAATATCCAAGTTGTCTGCCTTTTGTGACGAGAAGTGCCTTATTGAATGCAGTTAACATGTATACCCGTTTTGTGAGTATAATGATTTTTTTTTTTATGTCCAGATTTTAAGAGCAGGGATTAAAATACTTCTTTTTCCCATAGTTATCATGGTTTCTGTTGCTGCTGATTTATGCTCTGTTTCTGTCTCTAATTAGATTGCTGAGCTGCGTGAACTTGAGTATATTAAAGATCTGCCTCTCCTCAGAGTTTTAAATCTTTTAAAAAATCCTGTACAGGTAAGAAAGAACTAAAGAGGAAGCCAAAAATAAGAACTTAGAACTGCTGGTTTGGATCACACTGGAAGGAATCCATGTAGCCTCAGTTTCTATCTCTCAGAGTGGCCAGGTCATTTCAGGGAACGCGTACAAGAAGTGATGAGTGGTGGTTTCCCTGGGAAACACTTCTTGTGATGGGAGCTTTGAACACTTCTTGTCTGGGAGCTTTGTCTGAACCAAAGCTGCATATGAATAATGAGGTTTCATATCCATTAATTGTATTAATTCCATTTGTGAATCCATTTATGTGTTTGTACTCACAGTATGCCATGATTTTTGTTTGGGAAAAGATCGTCTTTTTGTTTGCTTTGAAGGTCTGTACTCAAATGTTCCTGGGAGAAGCTCAAAGGAACTTAATAGTACCCCTTTTAAAATCATGTGTCTCTGGAATCTGTATCTTCTTTTCTTCTTTAGGATTTACTCAGTTCTCATTTATGGCTCCCATAATATTCCTAAATTAATGAATTAAACATCCATTTTACTAACAGCAGCGACATTTGTAAAATATCAGAAATTCTGGCTGACTCTGCATTTGTAATTTGTCCTGAATGATCAAGGATGATTCTATCCTGACTTTTGTGATTTCTGAATTATGTTTGAATTTTACAGTGATTTCCAATGTCAGAGAGAAGAAAAATGCTAAGGGTTTAACTTCTCCTTTCTGTAATTACCAGTTTTGTCTTGGCTTTCGTGAGAATGGTCTGTCATGGCACACCATGAAATTAGCTTGAAAAAATACCCAAAAGAGGCTACCCCTGGTCTTCTGTAATCTGAGAGCCCTTTTCTTGTTTAAATGTCCTTCCCCTAAGCAAAGTCTGATCCTGTTCCTTTCAATTACTGTGTTAATAACTTATACATGCAACAATCATCTTGAGACAGCAGTCTGAATTTCAGTTGTTTTAACAGGACCTTATTGGTTTGGGAACTAAGAAGCTTCATGAACTTGTCAGTGTCAGCTTTCAAGTTTGATTTTTAATTATTTTTTATTGTCTCAAAAGCATATATGATGATTTTTTAATGCAAATTCTATTCTAAAGTTCTTACGGTGCTATTAAAGTTACAAGTATTAACTATAGTTTATTACATAATCCTGGTAATAATGCTTTTGCTTCTCCAACAGTCAGTCTTGGTGATGATTTTTAAATTCTCATCTTGACCTTTCGAACAATGTGTTGCAGACTTTTGAACAACTATTAGCTTTTGTTACAGAAGCTAAGGTTGGGAGGCAGGGAGTGTCAATTTGTATGGTGTATTGACATCCTTCGGGGAAGAAAGCTTCTTATGTTGCAATGTATTAAGGCCAATTTAATTTCAACTGATTGAAATTAAATATTAGATTGATGAAGTTAAGTACTTTATGTCAAAGTGGCATCTTTGTCCTTCAGGAGCAAACAGATTATTGGCTCTTGGTGATTTTCATGTTGCTCCAGCTAACAGAACTGGATCTCAAGAAGATTTCAGTGGAAGAAAAGGTACGTAAACATCTTATCATTCTGGAATTTTTTGAAATAAAGAACATAAAAAACTGCACGCAAATGTAGCTTTGTAGTCGTTTGGGTGTGACAAATCTCCCATGTTTCAGCCTCCAAGATAGGCGACAAATTCAGAGCCCTTTGCTTTTAAATCCAGATGTATATCTACAGAATTTCTGGAGCGGTTGTGGTATGTAAAAAAGCAAAGCTTACCTAGAAGCTTTGTTCAGTGAAGAAATTTACTCAACAGCCATTGTTACTCAGCTAGTGAATCTAAACAGGCAACTACATTCATTAAATACTCTGAAGTGGTAACCACTGTGCTACTTCTAAATTATCATTGCTGCGTGGTTTTTTAGTGTCGTGTACAGCAAAGTGAGCTCTGAAAGTTATAAGGACGCTTGTTTCCTCTTCTACTCCATACAGCTTGCACTGTAAATTCTTCTCCCCCCCAAAAAAACCTGCTCAGACTGCTTACAGTAACTTTCTGTTGTGATAGAAACCTTTCCCTCTTGTGCTGCTTTTGCTCTGATTTGGTTGCTGCATGTAGTATTTGGACCCAAACCGTGCTAGAACTGAGCTGCCAGTTGGGGTTGGATTTCAGGGAATTATCCTTTAAATATGATCCTTACAAGAAATTCATCACTTCTAACTTTAGCTGCATGAATATTAGGGTTCTTGTTTAATGTCTCTCTCTGTCATGAACACAGAAAAGGGATGATACCCGGGTGTAATTCACCCCACCTACCCGAGATGTTGATCTTACTCTTTGTCTTATGCGGCAATTTGGTTTCCTTCCAGTAAAATTTTGAATGTATTAAAGAAATTTTCCCTTCTCTATGGACTGTAAAAGTAAGCCTGGATGACTGGTTTAGACTAACACTTAACTTTTGGATGATTGAAGTTATTTCAGAAAATCCTCTCCTCAGGTTATTTTAGGACATCTACTGTAGCCTCATAAACTCTCTTGTCAAACTGAATTTGGAGGCAGTAGCTTTTCCATCTCACTGACACACAAAACATACAGAAATGTTGTCGTTTAGGTCAGAAGTGCAGTTTTGAAGTGAAACTCTCAGTTGCCCAAATCGCCATGTTCAATTCTTATTGTGGAATAGTCTTGCAACACATGAACTAGACTTCTTTTGGACGAACCTTAACCAGATGATGTGCACCAGGATGCATCTAATGTGCTCCTAGCCACTAATTCAGACCAAAGGACCAAACTGGAGCTAGAGTGAAATGAGCTCCCTTTCCCTGACTCTCTCCAAAGTCGTGTGGACACTGGGTCTTGAGTACTGAATGTTTTGCTCTAAAGATCCTCTCCTGATCGTAGAATCATAGAATGGTTAGGACTGGAAGGGACCTTCAAAGGTCATCGAGTCCAACCCCCCTGCAAGGAACAGGGATATCTCCAACTAGATAAGGTTGCTCAGGGCCTCGCCCAACCTGGCCTTGAACGTCTCCAGGGATGGAGTATCCACCACCTCTCTGGGCAACCTGTTCCAGTGTTCTACAACTCTCATGGTAAAAAATTTTTTCCTAATATCCAATCTGAATCTACCTCCCTCTATTTTAAAACCATTACCCCTTGTCCTATCACAACAGGCCCTCCTGAACAGCCTCTCCCCATCTTTCTTGTAGGCCCCCTTGAGGTACTGGAAGACCGCTATAAGGTCACCCCGGAGCCTCCTCTTCTCCAGGCTGAACAGCCCCAACTCTTTCAGCCTGTCCTCATAGGAAAGGTGCTCCAGCCCTCTTATCATCTTCGTGTTGCACCACACTACTCCCTAATGTCAGCGTGGCTGTCATGGGAGCTTATGGCAGTAGTTTGCAGCAGTGTTGGCTACTTGATATTTGATGGTTTACGTGAAATGGCTCGGTAGTTCTTAACCTGTTTCAGAGTTGGTGGCATTAATAATACCAAAAAATATACAACTCATTAGCGGTCAGTACCCTCAATAGAGCTTTCAACATAATGGATGGAAGGGATCCTGGAGTTTGAGTGCTCCTTCTCCCAGGAAAGACAGAAATGCATTGTCAGGAGAAAATTGCCATTTGCCTACTTTGTTAATGCCCATTCTGTTCCTTTTCTGACGAATAAATGAATGGCTTCAATCCCTAAGGATTTTAGTTCAGCATCTTCCACCAGCACGGAGAGCATGCAAATTAATGGATAATTAAAACCTAAGTAAAATTACTTTGCATCTTATGTGGCATCCTGTTTTCTTTCCAGTAAAAGGTTGAATATATTAAAGAGAGTGAGCCACGTCTGGCTGCCTTCCATCCATCTCTCAAATTGTGCTCGAATCCCCCAAAAAAGATTTATGTAGTGCAGTGCTCGCCGACAACCCGAACGCAAAGACTGACCCTCATAAATATGAAGCCATCATTATTCATCGTGATCCGCGAAGCATATTGCAGCTGGAAACGATTCCATCACTGCTCTTCTTTCTTTTTGCCCCTCAACTGTGGAAACAGGTTGCTGCCGTGAATAACTGGGATCCTCCTCCAGAAGTTGTTGCTGCTAAAGATCATCTGACTCACGTTATGTACAGCGCGCTGCAGCCCCAGAGGATTTTTGACAGGTAAACGTACCTCCATTTCACAGCAGCTCCTGAGGATGGCACTCAAGTAAAGCAGAAGATGTTGTCATATTTAGAGGGACATTTATCTGTCCCTCTCCCACCTCTAAATTAATCTAACGAAGAAGAGACGTGCCATAGGATTCTGGTAGCGGTCTGGCAGTTAGGCAAATCTGATTTGGTTGAAATTGATTATGAAATGAAGTTAGTCATTCACCTCTAAAGTCTGAGACAGATTGTCCACAGCTCCATTTCTTTTAAACAATCTGGTGAAACAGATGGCCGTTTGCACCGTAAATGAAAGATGCAAAATTTCTATCAATGCCCAAAGGCAATTTAAAAATCTCTAGAGGGAGAAGAGACCTGTAAAACATATCTTCTTCCTAGTCTGCTTACTCTGTCTCTGCACACTATTGGCATCCCATTGTGAGCAAAATGGCTTTATTTTCTGGCTTTGGGGCACATTTTATATTCATAAGGTGAAATTTTCAAGTTTTTACTTAGGGAAGTCCAGCTCCTTCTGCCTTTGGGAGATGATGCTGACTGCCACTTAGAGCAAAGAAGGGAGAGGCAAATCAATGTTCTTTTTCCACCGTTGCCATTGGCATGCCAAGTGACTTCTCTCAGTCTCGTTTCTCATCTAGAAAATGGAAATGACCATAATTTGCTGCTCTGCAGATGTGTTATGATATTTGCTTGATGAATGCTTGGAAAATGCTTTGACATACTCTGATGGAAGATACTGCGGAATGTGCGTGGTTTGTTATTATATTGGCTAGAGCGGGCACTGAGATCAGCTTTTGTGTCCCACTCCCTGTTTTAGCACCATTTCGGATATCCTTAATTCGTAATAAGTAACCTGATTTAAGATCCATGATTTAGTAACTCAGAAATTTATGTTTTTAGAATGTCTTTATTGTGAGTCTTGTGTCTTTCTGGATGAAAGACAGGAACCATCCCAGCGGTGAGGATAGCTCTGAGAATTCTATTTAAAAAAACGCAATGATTTATTTACTGTTCTACAGGGTTGAAGATTTATTAAAAAAAAAGCACAGTAGTTTTACCTAAAGGCATGGGTTTCTTCCAATGCAGACATAGGCTCTATTTAAATATTTGTTTATTGGATTGTGTATGTGTATCTTCATTCCTGGAAAGCAACAATTCTGTCTGCTGTCAGAGGTATTGTATACACAAACATATATAACACGCAGACCAGCATTTATGATACTGACCAAAATTGTTAATGATGCTTTGAGTGCTTGCCCATGCTCAGCTGGAACGCACACAACACAGTCTTTAATGAAATCTTCCTAATGATGATGCGTTACAGTCTTCTCTACTATAAAATTCTTATTGGAACCAGATTGGTATAGTTCATTTGCATCTATATTTTTAGACGAGATTATAATTATTTCTGGTTTAGTAATATCTCTATTAAAAAGAAAACCTGACAGCAAAGCAAAAAGTTATGTTGCTGCACACTCTGCAGTCAGAAAACATTAGCATAAGGTTTCTTATGCCGTGCCCTCTCTCCGTGTGCCGTGTGATTCTATCTCTAATTACATGGTAACACCCCACTGAACAATATTATGTGTATTTTTCCCATACTTTAAGGGCATGTGACATTTTAAAAGGTAGCTTGATCGTAGTTATAGCTGCTACGTGTGGAGCAGACGTTTAATAACAGAGGGCTCTTCAGCCTATCAAGCGAGTACACGATGAGACTTGGTGTCTGGCTATTGAGGATAAATTCATTCAGAGAAAAAATAGAGCATGATTATTTTTAACAGTGAAGGTAATTAACCATTGGAACAATTTACCAAGGGTACCAAGAATTCTCCACAACTGGAACGTTTTTAATTAAAATAACGCTCTAACGGAACCTCAGGTGTGAGGCTTGAAACAAGAACTCAAGGAAATCCTATTGCCAGTGTGATGAGGGGAGTCTGAATGGACGATCACAGTAGTCCCTTCTGGCCTTGAAATCTATTAATCTTGCACAGCGGTGTATTTCTGTACTCAACAAAGACAAAGAAAGTTGAAAGATTCACATCAAATGAGCTAAGAACTCTTTACAAGATACCGCTCACAAGCTGTAGGAAAATGAAAGCTTTCAGTTTATGTTTTGAGACCAGTAAGTGGTGATGTAATGACAGATGGTATTATGGAAATGTTTTCCATGTTCTTCTGGTGAAATAATAAATCCAAGGCTTTTGAGGACATGAGGAATTTGAGCAATGGACATCTTTTTAAGGGAATTTGAATTCTTAGGATAATCCTGTCAAGTAATGATGTATTGTATCATTACTGGATATAACACTTCCTTGTAAAAGAAAAGATGAGGGAGGAATTCTGGAATTTGCAAGCCTGTAACAAGTTCTGTGCATGGAGAAGGAATACATTAAAACTGTCTTGAAGATAAGGGTTGTGTCTTCACAGACCTGCCTTGACATCATTATTCACAAAGGGCATGGCCTTGAGCAAGAATAAGAACCTTTCTGCTATGTCTTGATAAATTTTGAATCTCTGATCACTAAGCATGTTTCGTGGAATTCCCATCTTTGAAATGGTTCATTTATAATAGTGCACTTGTAGTTTCCACAACTGTCACTAATACCTCCTGGGATCATGTTGCCGTAAACTGGTCTTTTCCTTAGCACAAATGTCAGAAAAGGGAAAGACAGTATGAACAGCTCAAGTAATCGAGAGAGGAGGAAGATATTTCTTGCATTGAACAGAATGTCACAACCTAACAGATTCAGATAAGGATTTTTAAAAGGTATTTTTTTACCTTCTTCGGTAATTTTAATGTATTATGCTGATGAGCTTATTGTGCTGATGTTGTCTAATGTTTTGTAAATGTCACCAATGGACACAGTAAGTAAAAAATCCTTAAATCTCCCAAGGGTTCTGCTCCTGTCTTGGTTCGAAATAGTCTAGTGGATGGAACAGTGAACCGGGATCTGGGTTCATTTCACGGTTTAATAACAGCACATATGTACAGACTCGAGCCAGTCTCTTAATTTATTAGGTGTATCTGTTATTTTTTCTGTGAGAATAGTACTCCATAGGAGAATTAGGAGACTGAATTGCATTATTATCTTAGGGCTTCTGAAGCATCAAGTCCCATTATGTACATATAATTTGGTATAAAATAGAGCTGGTTTGCTGAATCTAAAAGAGGAGTAAAGCCATTACCTTGAAATCTTTTTCCTCCATGCTTGTGTTGGATAGTTATCATTACTTCTTGTAGAGTTAGTTGCTTGCAAAAGAAAAGGTAAAAGAAATATACTCTGTTTTCAGGAATTCGTGTTCACCTGTTTTAAATCACGTTAAATGGAAACTTAACACACATTGGTGGTTTTCTTCCACTTTAAAAATTGAATGTAGTTAAAGCTATTCATTAGTTGCAAATAAGTGGGTCTGAAATTATTTCAACTATTTCTGACATGTTATCAAGTGGCATAATCTTAAGATCTAGCTGAGATTTAAAAATGAGAGTCCAAAGTTGCATTCAATTTTTAGCTGTCGGAATAAGTTGCTGACACTCGAGAGTGCAGAAATGCTATTCATTGTAGTATTTACAGCTGGAAGTGGAAATCTGAGGATCTAATCGTTTGCTCAGCATGGAGAAAATGGAGAGCTTTGTATTTTTGCAGCACTGTGGGTCCTTTTATTGTAGTGCTATTTGCGTTCAGCGGAGTTTAAGGATCTTAGTGTTTTTCATTGTATGGGATTGAAGAGTTCTTTACACATTTCCACCTTCATCTGGCAGGGCCACGGAAGTCAGCAAGATTACATGCAGGAACGCGTAAAGGTTTGTAGGATTGAGTCCAGGTTCATGCTAGGCTTATTATCCTGATCATTAAAATATTACCGTCTCTGCGATAGACTTGGAAAACTCTTAAACAAATCCCAGCAACACCGTAACTGCAGAGGGAGCTTTAGAAACGGCTATAAATCGGAAAAGATTATAGTAGACGTAACATTATTCCTTTTGCAAAAGAGTCCCAGGGGTCTTTAATGCAGTATTTTGTGCTATTTTTGTGTTTAGAGCACATCCAACTGAGCACACGCTTCTCCCGTCTGAACAACGTGAATAGTGTGATAGATGGGATTAGTTGAAGTGATGATAAAGTCTCTGCAGAAGCTTTTTACAAAGTTGCTGAAGACTTCATTTGTCACTAACGTAATGGCTCCTTGTTCCCCTTTCTTGTAGCACTTTACCTAGTCTTGATGCTCCCTACCCCATGCTGGTACTAGTTGGTCCTCTAGCCTGTGGTAAGAGAGAGCTTACTCATAAGATCTGCAGACAGTTCAAGAATTTCTTCAGATACGGGTAAGTTTGCTCCATAAGTTTAGAAGAACACCAAGTCATCAAGGCTAGAATTGCTGTTGCTTTGATTTTTTTTTTTTTTTTTAAAAAAAAGAAGTTAAAAGTTAAAGACAACCAATAAATGTTCATTGCTATGCATTTTATTTCTTCTCAGGGCTTGATTGCCTGAAGTCATCAAATACTTCCTTAAAAGACAAGCTATTTAAATTATCATGTTCTTTTCAAAGGTGAAGAGCGAACAAACAAACAAAAATGTGTCATTTAGTGCTCCTTTTATTGATCTGTTCTATCTATGCTCACTAATGCCCCTCAACCTAAGCATCTGTTTGGATATGTATGCATTTCTCTTAATTTTTGTAATGTAACCTGCATATGAACACATTAGCATGCATGTACAGACTGCATCCAGCAGCCAGGAAAGGAAGCAAGTGCAATTGCTGGACCAGTTTATTATCCTGTGAGTAGAGTTATCAAAGCAAATGGCACCTTTCAGACTTCACCACCTGCTGGGAGGACTAATTCTGCCAGTCTGAAAGGCCTGAATTATGATCCTTACCGCCTTGGGCTCCCTGTGTGTTCAGTGGAGAGAAACTTATCTCTTTCCAAGGGAGATTCAGCCTTTGTGAACCCCTTCCCTGCGGTACCTACCTATTTTCAGCACTAAGTTAGATCACCACTATCTGTTGCCTAAAATTAGGTGGTGCAAGCTGCTCCTCTTGCCCACCCATTCCATTCTGCACAGTACCTAACTTTCATAAATCCTACAGCACTTGCTATTCGGCACTGGTCTGTGCTCCGATTAAATTGTCTCTCCTCTATTTCCTCAAATTTTTTATTACATGAATTTATCCATTGATTTTTTAATGAGTCTTTGGCCGTAGTTTCACACGTATCATGTTTGCCACAATAGGACCTGGGTCTGGATTTGTGCACTCTTAGGTACTGCAGTGGTGAGTCGGAAGAAAGGGGCCATGGGCACACACATATGTGAGAATGATTCCTCGGAGTTCTCCACATTGCAGGACCATGTTCTGCGTGTCGATGGGATGTCTAGTAGTAGAATCATAGAATCACAGAATGGTTTGGGTTGGAAGGGACCTCAAAGATCACCCAGTTCCAACCCCCCTGCCATGGGCAGGGACACCCTCCACTACACCAGGTTGCTCAAAGCCCCATCCAACCTGGCCTTGAACACTTCCAGGGATGGGGCAGCCACAACTTCTCTGGGCAACCTGTTCCAGTGCCTCACCACCCTCTGAGTGAAAAATTTCTTCCTTAGATCTAATCTAAATCTGCCCTCCTCTCTACCAAAATACACCACAGTGAAGGAGCCCGTGTGTATTTCTGCCTGCTCTGTTCTCAGATTGTAGCCACTTGCTGGATTAGATCATGAAACTGGCAAGTTGAAAGGACATTTTAAGAAAAGATCTGTGGAGCTTATGTGACTGGAAAAATGACTTTTCGCCTTTCGTTAAAGCAGCTCCTGTGTTTTGAGAGACTAGATGGGAAATTACGAACTAATTGAATGCCAGTTGAAGTTTTCCAAGCACTATGGGGTTTTTTTTAAAGAGCATTGTTTTTATACTGTGTATTTTATTTCCTAAAAGTTTTATGCATGAGAGGAAAAAAAAGGGAGAGAGACAGAATCTTAACAGAGCAGAAAATTGCAACCATAAAGCAAAGTTGTATTTTAATTATTCAGTGGAGATTTAAGCAATTTTATGGCTTACACTTTTAAATTTCAAACATTCCACTCATTAAAAATGTATTTCATGCAAGATACCCTGGCAGTTTGAATGTAAACATGGCCTTGCAATTAAAAAGGGTTGTAATGTTTTAAAGTGTTTCGAAAAATAAAGTGAAATTGGACCTTCAAACCATCTGGCTCGTGCTCAGGAATGACCTTTAAAGCTGGATGCGTTCGTAATATCTTCAAGAAAATCAGGCCTTTGAAGTGAAATTTTGCAGAGTCCCTGTGTAGCACACGGTTCTCACTTGCCACAGCTTGCTGATTAAAAAAGGTGGCACCTTCTAGTGCCGTGATAGTTAAGATCTGTCAAGCTCTGCATTATGGACCAAACTTCTTAATGATTAATAACTCAGCTACCTTGAATAAATGAATATACAGATGTGGTTTGCCTTGAATAAACAGATGTGGCCTGCTAGGTGGGATACAAGTAGGTGGTTTATTTTTTGCCGTATTTTCCAGGACGATCCAGCAGAAGGCAAAGAGTTAAAATGTTAAATGTTGCCGGTGTGAATCAATGCCAAAGCTCCGCATCGCGCTTTTGTTCCTGTTATCCTGCGATGTAAAAATTAAAAACAAAACCAAAGCAGAAACAAGGAGCAAAATATAATTTCCTAAGATAGAAGATGAGCTACTGCATACTTCAATCTAAAATTGCTACATGCATTGACTTAGCTGGGGTTTTTTTTGGTTTTATTTGGGTTTGTGGAGTTTTTTTAGTGTTTCATCCTGGTAGTAAGCTCACGTATCTGAGGTTTATCCTATTGTCCTTATGTGGTGGCAGGCAATTACTTTTCCTGCCTTGGATCCCACTTATCTCCCTAGTTTCAGAATTGTTTCTCCCCTTACTATTAGGGGTCTATTTAAAGATTGGTCTTTATATCTCTTTCTTAACCTCACAGTTCAGCCTAACTCCTAGTCTCCTTTTCAGTATTTAGGATTCTACTTTATATCATCCACCAGCTGACATAACTGGAAAAAAATGGTTTCATCATTTCTCTATTACGGGATGCTGTGACAGCTTCAGTTCAGGCTATCCTGGGTTAGGGGGGATTTATGGTCAAAATGTAATGCTACATTTAAACTTTTTTCTTATTATTTATGGGTTAATCTTTCAAATATGCTGCATTAGTGGTATGATTTGCACCTCTTTATATTTCTCATATTTCTTTTCTTCTTAAAAATAAAATGATTTGTAGTGTTCTCCCTTTCCCCCTCCTCCTAGTCCGTAGTTGGTTCTGTGATTGAAAACAGGTTATTTCTTTATTATACCATATATCTTCCAGTCCCTGTCACACTACCAGGGCAGCTTACTTTGGTGAAGAAAACAGACTTGATTACTATTTCATTTCTGAAGAAGCATTTGACAAAATGGTGAAGACAGTAAGTATCTGACTTGTATCCTAGTAAGCCTATTTCCTACACCCAGAGTGAACTCAACTTTTCTGTCCAGGTCTGATTTTAATTTTTTTTCTTAGATTAAGTTTATGTCTGTGTGTGCATGCTCATCCACTCACAGTTATGTGGCTTAAGTTCAGACACAGAAACCACAAATTTGCTGTGTATTTATGCTGTCTTTTCTTCTGTATGCATATATAGAAATCATTAAATGTATGTAATGGTCAGTAGAAAACTTTAAAGAGTAGTATAATATAGAAATAAACTTATTTCCATATGCAAATATCTACTGTGTGTGTAGGAAAGAAAAACTCTTGAAATAGCTACCATCTTTTTTTTTTTTCCCCCTCATTTTTTTTTTCTTTTTTCAAAATCCTCCAGCAACCCTGCAGGGAATGCAGTCTTTTCAAGTTTAGCAAATTCACCCTAAAGGCATCGTGTTTCTCTCTGAAGGCAATGTGCCTCCAGCTACTGTTTCTGATGCCTTTTGCTGCCTGCAGTAAAACTTTGGCTTGAAAAGCCACAACAGAGCTCATTATTTGTACATAGACAAACAGGGGAGCCAGCACAGTCTTAAGCAACTGATCTGGTTCTTAATGATAACTCTCAGTAATCAAGTAGTTTAATTTTAAAAGAATATAACCTGCTTACATCTCTCTAGACGTACTACTGGGAACCAAAGTTTCACTTGTCAGGTTTTAACTTTGACATTTCTTGGCCGATTATGCATTCTCCTTGCAGATTTGTTTCTGTCCTCTGTTTTCTTTGACATCTTCTTTTTTAGATGGCGCGGCCATATGGTTTGATGTAATGTCAAAAGAAGGATGCCCCTTGCTTTAGATCTTGCTTTCTTTACAGTGTGAATGAATAACCAAAGAAAGCTGTAACCTGTCAGCACCTTGTTTTTCAAGACACTGGTGGTTTATTATCCGTGAACAATGTACAAGCCCCTACCCTGCAGGACTGACTACGTGCTCTTCTCTGCAAATTTTATGCTCCCATTGGCCTCATTATCATTGCTGATTTAGGCAGGGAGAAAGAAACTTTGTAGGAAGAGAAAGCAAGGAGTGATTATCCTCCTTTAAGGAAGCTGTTTCCCTTGAAATTTTTCCTTTGTAATGATATTTACTGTTTTTCATTTCAGGGGAAGTTTATAGCAACCTATAAATACAGTGGCTATTACTACGGACTTGGAAGAGACACTGTGGAATCAATTGCCAGAGAGGGTCTTGCAACCTGTGTTCACTTAGAAATAGAGGTAAGGATTACTTACTGCTTAACCCTTTTCGAATGAGTCGAAAGGGTTATTGGCTCAATGGCCGCACTCAGAGAGTAGTGGTCAACGGCTCGATGTCCAAGTGGAGACCGGTCACGAGTGGTGTCCCTCAGGGGTCCGTGTTGGGCCCGGCCCTCTTCAACATCTTTGTCGGTGACGTGGACAGTGGCATGGAGTGCACCCTCAGCAAGTTCGCCAATGACACCAAGCTGTGTGGTGCCGTCGACAACGCTGGAAGGGAGGGATGCCATCCAGAGGGACCTTGACAGGCTGGAGAGGTGGGCCCGTACCAACCTCATGAAGTTTAACCAGGCCAAGTGCAAGGTCCTATATCTGGGTCGTGGCAATC